AGGCTAGGAAAGATGCTGAGATGGGGATTAGTAAAATGAGACAAGCAAAGGGGTGGAACCATGAAGATGGCGACGTTTAGCAGATGGGCGAAGAAAAGTGAGTCAGCAAAGGAGCCTTGGAAGGTACCCGAAGTCTAGGAATGGCACCTCGAAAGAAGGGATGGTTCTGACACGGGAGCGCGGCCAGCAAGCGCAGGGACTGAGGGCAGTCCCTCGGGTGATAACGGGGAGAGGGCGGCGGGGGAGGAGGGAGAGCACAGGACGACTCAGGAGCAGAGATCAGGGACCTACGCCAGCTTCACACTCACCCTGGTCCCTTGAGCTGTGGCTGCCGTTTCCTTTTGTCTCGTGTTTTACCTGCATTTTGTTAGAAATCTGCTTCGTCTGCTCCCTGTTAGAACCGCAGAAAACAAGTTTCGTAAGCAATCTTGGAAGCTAGTCTTCTGCAACCTACTCTTGTACCCTCTTTACGTGTCCCCATCAAGGGGTCACTCAGCCTCAGCCTGAAAAGCTCTGGGGCCTAGATATTCACAGTTCCCAGAAGCAGCCTGGTCTATCTGGGAGCACTTAGGACTTGCAGAAAGTTCTCCATTACGCGGACTCCAAACCAGTCTCCCCGTAACATCCTTCTGCTTGGGAATTATGAGTAGAAATTTTGAAGTCAAATTTCATAGGTTCAAATCCCTGCTCTGCCAATAGCAAGCCATGCGACTCGGGCAAACCCCCGATCTCGGTTGCCTCGATGTCTCCATCTGTATAATGGGCGGCAGTAGCAGAACCAGCTCATGTCACGAGGGCGGCTGCCAGGAGGGCTGGACATGATCATACACGCACACGGTCCGGAACTGAGCACACGTAAGTGTTTAACGTGGGCTTTAAATGTTAACTTTAAAAATCACATAGCCCTGACACGCCCTAACCTCTGACATACTTCAAGGAGACTCCGGTCAACCCCGCGTGTCTGTCTCTCCTGAAGATCGTGCTTCTTCCCAGCTCCTCATCGGACGCGGCTTTCCGTGCCTTCGCCGTCTGGCTGCGTGGGTTTATCCACACGTCCTGCAGCCGGTTTGTGCGTGCTGCTGCCCTCGGAGCGGGGCGCCCGGAGCAGGCTGGGACGCTCCGGGGCGCTCCGTCCTGAGCACACGGGCGCGGGCTTGGCGCGCCGCGCAGACGCCCTTCGCGCCTTCTGTTGCCGTGGCGACGGCGCGCGCGGGCGCGCGGGGACGGACACCCCTGAGCCTGCGCGCTCGTGCCGCGCCCGCCCGGATCCCCGACTGGCGGGTCCTGGCGCCGCCCGAGCCGCCGCGTGAGCCGAGCGCCCTTCCGAGCCTGAGTCGCGCGGTCCCTAAAGCGGCGCCCTGCGGCCGCGCCCAGCTCGCAGAGGCGGTGAGGTGGGAACGCGCCGACGCGAGGCCGTCCCCGGCCGCGCGCGGGCGCCCGGGAGGCCCAGACACGAGCTGCTGCTGTGGCCCGTGTGACATGCCCTGTCCCACGTGCAGGGGATGCCGTGGCCCTGCCCGAGGGCGTTTCAGAAAATGTGAATCTGGGCCCCGCAGCTGGTATAGCAGGAGACCACTCGGACGTGACGCCGGACTTGTATTTGCCCAAGGGCGACCTCATCTTCGAGGAAATGCTAGGTGAGCGCAGCAAACTGCACGGTGCGCGCACACACACACACACAGCCACAGCTGCCCCAGCTCACTGAGGTTTTCTGAGACACCCCGACATCCCCTCCTCCGACTTCAGGTAACCCTCTCCACCACTTCACAGTGACGCACCAGCGACAGCGCTTCCCAGACCCACCCGCACAGCAAACTTCGGGGCTTTTCCCAGGGAAGGTGCTAGAATCCTGCAGTGTGGATGTAGTTCTGAACCATTCAACAGGTGTAAAAACCACCCTGGCATTTTTCACTCTGTTCCTGTCTTTATGTTTTAAGTGTCACCGACCAAGTTTTTGAGTGTTCTGTCTCAGCCCCGTTTTTCTCATGAGCTGTGTGATTTTTATGAGGCGATTTTCCACATCGCCGTGATTTCTCGGCAGGCGTGTGACACATGGCACTGGAACTGACTGTAATTCTCTCTACTGAGTGTTGGAGACTCTTAAAATACGTTAGATCTTGATTCGGCTCTTCATGGTATTTGGTTTTTCCAGTCTTCACGTTTTGCGTGAACTGGATGTGAATATAAGGCTGGAAATCTGGAAATCGAGGGGAGAGGTTGTACGCTGGAGGATAGTCTGACAAAAGAACATTGAAAAGGCGGTTCCTGCAGGAGCAAGTATTTTCAGGA